AGGCCTTGAAATGGGGCCAGGGAATGATAATAGGTTATTTTGTCTTTAGAAAGCCTTTTCCCTCCTTATTTGGTATAGACATTTCAGCAACATGACCAAGCTTGTTAGTACTGTAGCAATAACAAAATCTATAGGCTTCAAGTGAAGACTTCAGGTCATCTTTTTGGAGTCTTACAGACCATAAAAAGTAACTGATGTAGTGTGAGTACATAAGACTAATTTTTAGTGTAAAAAACTGTAGACATTAGAAGTATGAAGTATGGAATTTAATTCATAAACTTAGTGACTTTCTGTGTAGATAGTTCTAAATATCTTAATCAAATGCAGGGTGTTTACTAAAACTTTGAGATTCTTAAGGTATTGTTATAATTTCTAGAGCTGGAGGGCCCTTTCCTTTGTATTTGCACAGCTTCCCGTGTGTATTACTTCATAGCATTTGAATCAGTGATTTTAATTCCTTGTGCGTGTCTTTACCATTAAACCACGAGTCCTTTGAAGTTAGCCACTGGGCCTTGTTCATCTCCTCTTTTAACTTTTACACAACATGTGGTAAGGAGCAAAAAGTTTAGTGAATGTTTATTGAACCTAATTAAATCTTCAAAAATATAGCTTCTGACCCTTCATTTTTCAGATGGAGAATTGAGGCATAGGAAAGCAGGTATTTACAAAATTTCAAATAGGAAAGTTACAGCAGAGTCAGGAATAAATCCTATTTTATTTATTTATTTTTTAGAATGTTTGAATAAAACTGCAGTTCAAACTGCAGAATCATTCTTTTTAAAATTAATTTTATTGGTACATTTAAGGTATACAATATAATGACATTCATCATTGGAAATATGTACCTTTACATAATCTCTCTTGGTTCTTATTTTTTCCCCATCCCCCTGCCCTTCCTTCAACCCCTCCATCCCTCCCTATTTACAAAGACGTTGTTTCCATTTTTCCATTTTCTCATATTAATTCCATTCCCTTCTTTCCTTTCCCCTAGCCCTCCCACTTCCCCTTCCCGTTTGCCCCTTTTCGTCCTATTTCACATTATCTATTATACCTTTTAGTCCTTATTTACACTTTCAGTTTTTCATAGTAGAGAAACTATTTGCTATTTACACATGTGTGTCCTATTTATTTCACTCAAGAGTATGGCCTCAGTGTGCATCCATTTAGCTATAAATGTCTCTAATTTTTCACTTTTTATGGCTGAGTAGTACTCCATTTTATTTAAAAAAAACCACATTTTCTTTATCCAGTCTCCAGTTGATGGGCAATTAGGCTGCTTCCAAGTTTTAGCTATTACAAATTGTGCTGCTATGAACATGGGTGCACATATATCACTGTGGTATGATTCTTTTAATTCTTTGGAGAAGATACCCAGCAGGGGAATAGCTGGGTCAAATCGGGCTTCCAGTCCTAGTTTATTTTGATTGCTTAACATTTTTGCGGCTGTTTTGTCCTCCTGCCCAACTTGGTTTGCTAACTAATTAGCTAGAAATTGGAAGCATTTACAAGTTCTAGAAATGCAAACCTTCTTTCTTATGAAAACCAATAACCACGCAATATAGCCCTTATATTAAGCACAAAATTTGTTTCTTAGCTCCCTCCACTTACTCAAAAGCCAGGAGTCAGCAGTGCCTATCATACAAGATTTCATTTTCCTCTGAGAACACACACACACACACACACACACACACACACACACACACGACTCAAAGTAGAGCAGCTGAAAAGGATATTTTGGATGAAATCTTGGCATTTATTGTTTTTGTGTGACCTAAGGCCAAAGGTGACAGGATTTAAATGGAGTTCAATTCATTAAGGTCTTCCCTTCTTTTCCATGTTCATCTGTAAATGAGGATAAGAAATCTATTCAGAGGGAAATTTTGAGCATTAACTGGAGGGATAGAGTAGCATCATCATAAAGTTGCTCTATCACCATGGGCCAGTCAGTTACCCTGGGCCACTGTATCTGCATCTGTAAATGAATTAAATTAGATGATTTACAGACAAAGGCCTGTGAAGCTGGAACATTCTATGATTCTCTTCCCCTGGGATCTAGCTGGACTCTGGAAGGAGTGTTGCAAGGACTGAAGACGTAAGGAAAGAGTGATCCTGCGCTGACACAATGCTGGCTTCTGCTGCCTTGCAAGTGCTCCCTGTTTGATGTCAGCCTTTTATCAGAGTGTTTGTGCTCTATCCAGGCTTCGCCTGGCCATTGCAACCAGTCCCCATTCCGTTCCTCGGGGCTCTGGGAGAAAGCCAGTGGATGGGGAGACTCAGAGGCAGAATTTCTTCCCAAGAAAAGCCTGAATGGTGAAACTCACAAAGTTCAGAGAAATTTCCTGTTTTGTTTTCTAAAAGCTTCAGTTCCTATTGATTACAAAAACCACACACACACACACACACACACACACACAAATAAAAACACTTACACACAAAAAAACCCAGGATATTCTTTCTCCATTGCTGGAGTCCAGTGCAGTCTTACCATCTGTGTCATTTTCTCCCATGTCTCTGAGTTTCACTCTTATGGCAGTCAAGCCCTTAGCACTGCCTGGAGATGTTACCTACCGAATTTTAAGCTGTAAGCATTTGTATACAGTATTTTCACTAAGGGGAAATCTGCAAATAAGGGAGAAAAGATCTGGTAGCATAACCAAGTGTTGTCCAATCTGCTTTCTGGCCTTGTGAGAGTACCTTCCTCTGGTGCTGACAGAAGAGACATTTATTCCCAGCATAGGTTCTGGCACAGAGTAGGAACAGTGCTCTTACTTTGTGCTAGACTCTGTCTCAGATGATTTATGTGCAGATAGTTCATGGACCATATTTATATTAAAATAAATGTCTGAAATTTAAATTTAATGGATTATTCTATATATTTACTTACAAAACCTGGCAACACGACTTAGAATTAATCCCATTTCTCTGGATGGTTGGACAGAAAAGACCTGTACTTGAGAGTCACAATCTGGGCTGGATTCTACTTTCACCACTTATTATTATGTGATCTTGGAAAAGGTGATCCACTCCTGTGAGTCCTAGTTTTCTTCTCTGTGAATAATGATCATAATGTCTGTCTCTCATTACTGTTGTGAGAATTATATTTTTAACTGCATTTACAATATCCCGAACTGTGTAGTTGAATGGTTCATGAACATTAGCTTTTCTTATAATTCCTCTTTATTTTGGGGGGTACCACACTTAACTCAGGAGAAATTAGATAATGTGTTTATCCCTTGGAGAGGATATGGATAAAATCGTGTGGAAGGGATAATTGGAATATTCTTGCCAACACATCCAGGAAAAATTTAATGGAATCCAACACATGGTATTCTTGACACACGCATTCTCCCTCCAGATCTGTTCTGGGTAGCTAACGAGGGAGACCTTAGACCAACTTTACATAAACATTGTCTCTTGAATCTTCGAACAATGCAGGATGGGAAAATGATGTCTGGATAGTCAGGTACCCTTGGTGATAGACAGTGTGAAACTTTCATTAAAAAGCACACAGAAAGTGAAATAATTGAAGAAATGGGAGAAAAGAAAGCATGTAGAGTTGGCAAAGTATATACCTGGCAAAGGGATAAGAGGCCAAAATTTTCTTGAATCTTTCAATTTGTAATGTCAGCGTGAATGGGGTAACTTATTCAGCCCATTCACTCCAGCATCAAGAATATTTCCACACCTGAGCCTGAGGGAGAAAACATAGAGTTATGACTTGAGGTCTGTCTTCAGCTGAACTGAAGGACTGCCTTCCAAATTATCTTACTGCCAACTATTAATGTTCATTTGTTTGGTGACCATTCATTTATTCACTATTGATGGAATAATTTGGTTTAGTCCTGTGAAAATACTTCTGGGAATAAGGCACCTTGGCCTTGGTGGAATTAGTCTTTTTTGGGTGAGATAGGACAGGCAAGAACATGTGATGGCTGGAGTGGTCTAATGTTATAGTATCCAGAAGAGGAGCTTGATCAGTCTTAGGTTTAAGAAAGTCAAGGTGAGATTTTCAAAAGAGAGAATGGTTTCACTTGAGATCAAGTGCAAGGAAGAGAATAATCCAGGCAGAAGACAGGATGTTTTTAAAGACAATGAAGAACATTGCAATTAAATTACAGCATTGATCATCATTTACAGCAAAGGTCAGCAAAACATGACCATCAGATTCTATCTAGCCTGCTGCCTGTCTTTGTAAATAAAATTTTACTGGGTCAGAACTATGCCCGTTCTTTTAAAGTATTGTCTTTCACGCTTTGATGTCATAATACCAGTGCTAAGTAATTGTGACAGAGACCACCTGGCTGCAAAGCCAAAAATATGTATTCTCTGGTCGTTTTCAGAAACAGTTCACTGTCTCCTGCTCTAGAGCACGCTTTACACAGGGAGTAGTTCACTGTTGGTAGAAATGTTAATGAGCTGTGAGAGTGGATAGTATAATGCAAAGAAAGTCAAAGAAGAGATGAAACGGGGGTGGCCAGGAGATAAAACAAGGAGTTTAGACTTAGGCATGAGGATTATCAGAAGCTTTTGAAAGTTTTTAAGTAGGGTAGTAACATAATCTTTTGCACTGTAGCAAAGACAGGTGCTGGAGCCACACAGCCTTGCATCAGATTCAAGCTCTATCACTTACTAGTTGTGAACTTCAGGAAAATTATTTACTTTTTGTGTGCCTAAGTTGTCCAGTGTGTAGAATTAGAAATGATAAGAATGTCTATCATGTGGGGTATTGTGACTATGACAAGTTAATACAGGTAGAGTGCCATGGGTAGGGGAGGTTTTCAGTGGATCTGACAGCATTGTATCGCAATGATCATTCTGGCTTCTGTGTAAGTCATGGACAGGATGGGAGAAGTTAGTGGTAGGGTGCTAGGGATTTAGACAAAGACAGTGTTCTGTGCCTAGGAAGGTTGCTCTGGAGCTTTGGTTGGCTGCCATTATGGCCATCAACACATTTATCCTCAGCATCTCCACCATCATCATCATCTCCCTTTTTCTTCCAGGCCTTCAAGAATGCACTGATGAGTTTCTACTGGTGCTCAGGGAAAGGGGATGTGATCGATGACTGGTGCAGATGTGACCTCAGCGCCTTTGATACCAATGGGCTCCCCAATTGCAGCCCCCTTCTGCAGCCGGTGTACGTATGTAAGGCCCCCTTCCTTTGGCCACCCCTTTCCAAGGACTCACATTCTTGTCTTGCTAGCCCAGGTTATGACTTGGCTCTGTTCCTGGGGCATCTAAAAAGGTCTCTGAAGTGTTAGATGCCTATCTCCTTCTTTTGGAAAGAAGGGAGCTTTGGCAGAGCAGAAACATGGCACAGGAGCAGACTCTGTTATTTTAGATGATGCCATAAAGTTCATCATTCCTTCCTTCACTTATCTGTTCAGGGAAATTTGCTGAGCAACTGACTTCTTTTTGGGCACTGGGGATGAATAGATAAAGAAAGATATCCGAATAGATACCTGAATAGTTAAAGATATAGAACATCTCCTAAGGTACTTCATTTTATTCATTTATTCAACAAATAATTTTGGACACCTGCTATGTGTCAGGCATTGGGCAAAATATCAGTGGACAATTAGGGACCTGGTGGTTTAGCGAGGGAGAGAGATGCCGAAGGAAGATCAGATGCAGTTATAAAATTAAATAAGAAAACTATAAAGAAAAACAAAAAATTGTGAACAGGGAGAATGGGAAAACAACTCTCCGAGGAAACTTCAATTACAACAGAAATCCTTCAGGAAGCAGCTGGTAAGAATCACATTTTAGGCCAGAGATACAGCGTTTGTGAAGGCCCTGACACAGGAAATGCATTTGAGGAAGTAAAAGAAGGTTATCTTGATTGGAGGAGTATGATTAAGAGGGAGATGTGCTATGAGAAACACAAGAGAAGGTGCAGGCGCCAATATTGGGAAGCGGAGTCCCATAATGTACCTCTCTGGGATGAGAAGAATCACACTGTAAGCTGGATGTGGTGGCACACACATCCTGTCTCAAAATACAAAATAAAAAAGGGCTAGAGGGCTGGGGATGTAGCTCAGTGTGAAGGGTCTGGAATTAATCTTTGGTACTACAGAGAGAGAGAGAGAGAGAGAGAGAGAGAGAGAGAGAGAGAGAGAGAGAGAATATGAATCACATTGTGAAAGATGGTGTTTGAAGAGATAATGTGGTATAATCTAAAAAAAGAAAAAAAGAAAGAATCTCACTAGAGAAAAGCAAATTGACCATCACAGTCCTCTCCCTAATTTGCTGTGTGACCTTGAGGAAACCGTTTGCCTCCTCCTCATTTTGTGAAAGGAGAGAATTGCACTTCATTATCTCTAAGGACTAAGCCAGTTTTAACCTTAAACCATTCTGTTTTTTTCTTGGGTTACAGAAGGATTTAATCTAAGATTTCTGTTCTTTTTAAAAGAATTGAGTCTTTTGAGAGACTTAATGTATTAAACAATGGACTGATACATTGGGGACTGAATGGGAATAGAAAAAAAGAGTGAAAGCGCCTGTTTGAAGTCATTGAGAATTTATTTAAAAACTAAAGTATCAATGAGAATATGTTTTAAATAAATAAAAAAGAATCAATTTCCATTGAGCACATACTGTATACATGGTTTAATTTGTTGAATTCCATACTGATCTTAAAAGATGGCTCTTTGTATCCCTATTTTATGGATGAGGGAATGGGCCTTGAGAAGTAGAATAATTTGGGTAAGGCTATGCAAGGTTTCAGTGGGGGACTGGATCAGCATTTGAAGCCATGCTGAAACCTTTGATCCATATTGACACATGCAGGCCCTTTTGGGCCCCAGCAGATGCTGGCTGGCAAACAAGCCACCTTCCCTTTCACCCCTGTAGGCTACGACTGTCCCCAACAGTGGAACCCTCCAGCACTGTGGTATCCTTGGAGTGGGTGGATGTTCAGCCAGCTATTGGGACCAAGGTTTCTGACTATATTCTGCAACACAAGAAAGTGGATGAATACACAGACACTGATCTTTACACAGGTAAGTAGATGGCTTCCCATTTTGCTGGGGCTGTATGATAAGAGTAGAAAACTGGGATTTTGTAGTGTTTCAGGAGACTTAGTGTGTATGGCTTGGGAAGGCAGTGGGAAGATTCACTTTTTAGTGCTTTTCCTGGTGCCCACTTATATGACTTTTTGGTTTGATTTTAAATACAGAAAGTTAGCGACTTGTAGCTGGAAAGAGTTTCTCTGAGTTGGACCTTTAAAATCATACATGAAAAGATTAGTGGATTCCAAAGAGGATTTGACTTTCTTCTGCTTGGGAAGGCCTATAGACGTCATGTTTGAAAACCTTGGTCTATAAGTATATTATCTCTGGGACTGGGATGAAGAAATTTTAATGACTACCTTTGCTAATGGTATGTATGTATGGTAGTCTTTATCAACTGCTGCTAGGGAAGAGAAAATTGGAAATAACTTGAGCATGCAGGAGCATTTGAGGAAGATGACTTTTAAGAGGGGTACATTTGGTTGTAACTCAGAACTTACCTCTGAGTTCTAAATCCCTGACACTGCCAAGAAGCTTAGAATCCACCTGTGATCTGTACTGGGCTTTTACATTTTCTGCTCTTGGTTGAGACTTCTATTCAGTAATCTTTTCCAGCCAGAAAACTTTGACTGGGAACCTATTTCCTGTACCACGCACTAAGCTGAGTACTTTGTTTAGATCCCCACAAAACTCCACACCTTTAGGAGGATTGGTGTTTATTGTGCCCATTACACAAATTAGGAAACTGAGACTAATCCAAGGTAATCCAGTTTATGATGTCTCCTTTAGTTCATAATTTTAATCCAGAAGCAAGACTGGACCATTGGAAGAATTAAAGTATAGTTGCTTGGTGATTTGCTCAATTGCAGTATAAATACAAAGAGGGAAAATTACTTGTGTGTTTTCAATAAGATAGAATTCTCAATGCTCACAGTAGAGTCTGCCATGTAAACATTTGTAGAATGGATGACTAATGAATGAAAGGATCTTTAGTGTTTCCTTTCCTTTTTCTGTCTGTCTCCATCTTTTCTCCTACCTTTCTCAGTTTCCTCTCTGGGTTATTATTGTTTTGTTTTCTCTGAAACTAGGGAGAAACTGGTACAATGAGGTTGTGAATGCGAAATAGGTCAGCAAAAACCAGGTTATAGATGACATTAGAAGCCACATTGCTTAGTACTTGGAGTTCTGAGACTGATGTGACTTATTTGATGTTTCTGGCTGAGAACTAGCACAGGCTGGAGGGGTCTTCATTTGCAGAGAGGGGGAAGTTGTGGAACAGTAATTAGGCAAGCTATTTTGCCTCATTTTGGGGTTTTGTTAATGCTTTTCAGCTTTGACTCTATTTGTGTGTTGCATGTGCTTGTGCAAAATTATGTGAGTGCATGAATGTGCAAGTTTAAGTGTATGTGTGTTTGTGTTCATTTGCCTGCACTTTCATTTTCACTCGCATGAGACTTGTCAGTAACTGTGAATGGGTGAGATGGGTGAGTGTGTGTGTGTGTGCATGTGTATTTTGTTTTTGTACAGTGTTATTTTATCATAGCAGAGGTCTGTAGACCACAGATCACAAGGGAAATAAAACTAAATGGTCAGTTTACACTTTAACTCACTACCTTGAAATAAGTACTATAACATAATTTGAAAATTCAAAAGTTCACTTCATCCTGCTTCTCCTTTATCATTTCACTATGACTTTCAAAGTCCACTCCACTTACATTCTTCCAAATGTAGGAAATCTGAGTTTTTCCTAAAATTTTCTATATATAAGATCATGTCCTTGGAGAGACAATTACATTATTATTTTCTAATTTGCATAACTTGTATTTCTTTTTCTTGCCTACTTGCTCTGGCAAGGACTTCCAATTCTGTAATGAGTAGAAGTGATAATAACAGGCATCTCTGCTTTGCTTCTAATCTTGGGCTAAAAGTGTTTAGTCTGTCACCTTTGAGTATACTGACCTTTGTTAATTTGGAGAAGGGAACTTCTATTCCACTTTTGCAGCGATATCTTTGTTTTTTGCTTTAATTAGGAATCTTCTCTCTCTCCCCTGTGTCTGCCCCTGCCTCACCCTCTCCTTCTGGAACATTCTCCCTCTCCACCTCTTGCATTTTAAGATTGTAACTGAGGTTACTGAGTTAAGATATTTCTTGTGATACAGGCATTCTCTCTAATTACTTCTTTAGTGATATCCATAAATTTTGTTAAATTGAGTTTTCATTTTCATTCAGTTCAAAATGTACTTTCTAATTTACTTTTTGTTTCCTCTTTTTAGCCTCTTGGTTATTTAGAAAAATATTGCTTTCTTTCTAAATACTTGAGATTTTCCAGATATCTTTTTATTATTGATTTTTAATTTGCCTCTACTATAGTCAGAGAATATACTTTTTTCTACTTGTAAATGTAGTGTTCTATATATACCAATTAGATCAAAAGTATCATTTGAGTCTCAATATTTAAGAGTGGTATTACAATCTCTGACTATAATTGTGAATTTTTCTATTTCTCCAGGTTTTATTAGTTTTTACTTTGTTTTATATAGTTCGGTGCACTGGTATTTGGTGCATATATATTTGATTGTTATCTCTGTTCTGGATTGTTCCATTTACAAAGATGTAGTGACCTTCTTTGACCCTTCTGATCAGTCTTGTCTTGAAATCAACTTTGTCTGCAAATAGAATAGCTACCCCTGCTTTTTTCTGGGCTTCTGCTTTTTTCTGGTTGCATGGAGTAATGTTTTTATTCATTGACTTTCAGTCTATGTATTTCTTTTTGAGTTAAATGTGTTTCCTGTATGCAGCACATTGTTGGACTTTGTTTCTTGATCCATTCTGCTAGTCTGTTTCTTTTGACTGGTGAATTGAGACCATTTACATTGATAGATATAACTGATATGTATAGACTTATTGTTGTCATATTATTTTCCTGTTGTTGGTTCCCTTTCTTTCCCCTCTGTTAATTGCTTGCCTTGCCTGGTGGATTCATTCTGTTGGGATTCATGAAACTGTCTTTTTCTAGAATATCTTTCAGAACTTTTTGAAGTGCTGATTTGGTAGTATGAATTTCTTCATATATTCTTTATCATGGAAGTATCTTATTTCTCCATCAATTTTGAAAGGTAATTTTTTGGGGTACATCAATCTGGGTTGGAGGTTGTTTTCTTTTAGGGATTAAAATACTTCACTCCAAGCTCCTCTTGACTTAAGGGATTGTGTTGAGAAGTCTGGTGTGATTCCGTTGGGCTTTTCTTTTTTTTTTTATTAAATTCTTTTATTGGTACATTGTAGGTATACAACACAATTACATTTCTCATTGGGAATTGTACCTTTACATAATGCATCTTG